ATGCAGTTCTACCCAGCAGATTCTTGCATAAATAAAAGTAACATAGCACATTCTGAAAGAAACAAATGGTTTGGTGTTAAATACAAAATTACTTCATTATAGGGATGTTTGATAGTCTTGATCAGGGATCCTGGGTTTCTCTGTTTAAAAATCACAGTCTCTGAACCACCCTATCCCCCATCTGTGTTTTTCTGCGATCAGAATGAAACACCACTCTATATATATATATATATATATATATATATATATATATATATATATATATATATATGTATGTATGTATGTATGTATGTATGTATGTATCAATTTAACACAATTTTTGTTGATTTATTTACAATTTTACAGCAATTTGGAAGCGTACCAGTGCATCAGTCATTATAATAAAATAAATTCTAAATACTTATATATTTTGGTGTTAGATTTTGGGTTTTTTTAACCCAGAAAATCAGAGCTCCTTCTGCCACCTTCTCTCACCAGAATGCAGGCCCAGCTTAAGCTGTCCTGCCTGCTGCTTTGTAGTGCTGAGCAACCCTGATTTTTCTGGTGCCCTGAGCCTGCCCATGCTATTGCCTCCCACTCCCAAGCCACAGCCCCCTGGCCCTGCTGGTGCTCCTCACACCCAATCCACAGTCCCCCATCCCCTCAGGCCATGTTGCTGCCCCTCACTCCCAACCCTCAGCCCCCTGTCCCTGCCAGTGCCCCTCACTCTTGGCCCACAGCCCCTTGGCCTGCTGGTGCCCTGCACTCCTGACCCACGGTTCCCCACCCCCACTAGTGCCCCTCACTCCCAAGCCCCCCTAGTCCTGCTGGAATCCTTCCAACCCTCAGCCTCCTGCTACTTCCAGCCCTATGAGAGGGGTCCCTCAGCTGCCCCATCCTGCCTGAGCCAAAGTGCAGTGGCTCTGACTTGTACAGGTGGAGGCGGAGCAAGTCCAACCCCAGCATGGGCTGGAGGGAGGGAGGCAGAAGGGACGCCTGTGACCCCCTCCCACCCTGGACTGGGTCTCCCATGCCACGCCAGGTGACCTGGCCATGGCAACCTCCGGGCAGCATCTCCCAGCCACCCCGCCCCTGCAGCCAGAGGCACTGGCCCTGGTGCTAATGGCCTGGCCACACGGTTCCCCGCCACCCCTGGAGGGTCCCTGACCTCCTTCCCTGGCAGGAGGGGCAGGCACCTCCCCCCCACCCTCACTGCCATGCCACAGCCCCAGCACCCCAGCACTGGCAGGCACCTGCCCCCCTTCACACACCTGTCCCCTTCACACCCACACACACTCCCTCCACAGCCCCCTGAACAATCCCCAGCCCCCAC